TTTTACAGGAGTGAAAAAGGACTTCGCAAAGCCATTGAAATGTATTGAGTCGGCTTCAATACATTCCAATGGAGGAAACATTGTTTCACTCAACGATGTTTCCTATGGGTTTTTTCACTTAAAGACGGCAATCTGTTCCAATTGGAACAGATTAACCGGTTTCCAATTCATTCCTATGGGAAATGGTGTTTCACAGAACGATGTTTCACACAACGTTGATTTTTTTGGAACCAATTAACATCGTTGTGTGAGGCACCACTGTACCTTGGTTATAGTTAATGAAAAGCTTGAATCTAAGAGTTTGCTGTACACAAATGCTTAGTATTAAAGTATTGATAGTCCAGCACAGTTGGATGGCACTGCTGATACATTCTGCTTCACAGTAAAAATATCAGAGCACTTATTTTTTTAAAACAGTTATGAAAAACTTAAGCCTATTGTCCTCCACAATTTGTTGGGTTCAAACTCCCATCAACTTTGCTCTGCATGACCAGTGGGCAAGAATGTCGGGACCTGCAATTCAGCAACATCTGATTTACCCAACCCTGTTCTATAGAGGCTGTATATATTATTTGTACATCTTTACTGCGTTCCGTGTTTAGTCGCACTGGCCACATGACCACGGAAACTGTCTATGGACAAAACGCTGGCTCTGTGGCTTGGGGACGGGAATGAGCACCGCGCCCTAGAGTTGGACATGACTAGACTAAATGTCAAGGGGAACCTTTACCCTTTTACTGTGTTTTATTGTGTTTCCTGTTCACTTTTCATGTATAAACAGAAGGATGGCAATTGTTACATTTTCTGCTTCTTTATTAGATCAATCAGATGGCCACAGCTCCTGACTCTCAGAGATTAAAACTGTTGAGGGAAGTAGCTGGTACTAGAGTATATGATGAACGTAAAGAAGAAAGTATCTCTTTAATGAAAGAAACAGGTAACAGTAGTTATTATTCTAATAATTATTAGAATTATAGGACCCTTCACTAACAGCAGCAGTTTGCTTCTAATTAAAGTGTTCCTTTTTCAGTTTGGGGTATGCACAACTTGTGTATAACAAGATCAAGTTGTGCGTACTTTGAAATTCAGAAAGGAACTCTTTAATTAGCAGCCATCTGCTGCAGGTGATATTCCTGCAGTGCCAACAAGCACGTGCTGACTCGTGTATTTTAAATTTGTTGGGTTTTTTAATAAATACATTAAGTTACAAAACAGCAATACTCCAGTATAGTATGGAAATTCTTACTCTTGTGTAGAATTTACATGCATTGATATGTAGAACCTTTTTAGATGGAGTAACCAAGTTTACACATTTGAGCCTGTAAAGCAGTAATGTTGATCATTTGTTCTGGGTGCAGATATATGAACTAAGCTACCATCTTAAACTGTGTGCTGGAACTTTTCTTTATTATAAGATAGAGCTGCATTCTGCGTCAGACAGAAAAACCACACTAAGGAAGTAGTTACCTTGTAGCTGTAGGCTCAATCCTTGTTGTGGGATGGAGGTCAGGCATCTGTTTTTCCCATATTCAAGATATTTTTAGGCCACTTTCCCAAACACAGCTCCCCACAGTGTTTACAGTCCTATAAAATAAAGAATGACAACTGTTTCACTATCTTGTTGGCTAGTGTTAATCTGTTGAGTGCTGTCTGCCTGTGACAGGCAGGGCTGAAGCTGGCAGTGAATAAGTCAAAAATATGTGAACCTACCACTTCAGTCTCTCTATCTTTTTGTCCTCTGTTTCTTTCTGTTCCTCTCTAATCTAATCAGCAGGTTTCTAGAATACAGCCAGATGCTCTTGTAAAGGAGCAGTTTAATTACTTGCAGTATAGTTAAGGCCAAGGGCTGCAGGCTAACCACTCCTCACTTTCTGCCATCAGAGTGGTATCATCTGCATATCGGAGGTTGTTGATGATATTTCTTCTGGCAATCTTAATTCCATTTTGGGATTTGTCCAGTCCTGCATTTCGCATGATGTTTTCTGCATATAAGTTAAATAAGCAGGGAGACAATATACAGCCTTGTCGTACTCCTTTCCCAATTTTGAACCAATCAGTTGTTCCATATCCAGTTCTAACTGTTGCTTCCTGTCCCACATACAGATTTTTCAGGAAATAGATAAGGTGGTCAGCCACTCCCATTTCTTTAAGAACTTGCCATAGTTTGTTGTGGTCCACACAGTCAAAGGCTTTTGCATAGTCAATGAAGCAGAAGTAGATGTCTTTCTGGAACTCTTTGGCTTTCTCCATAATCCAGCGCATGTTAGCAGTTTGGTCTCTAGTTCTCTGCCCCTTCGAAATCCAGCTTGTACTTCTGGGAGTTCTCAGTCCACATGCTGCTGAAGCCTACCTTGGATGATTTTGAGCATAACCTTGCTAGGGTGTGAAAGGAGTGCAGTTGTACGGTAGTGGAGCATTCTTTGGCACTGCCCTTCTTTGGGATTGGAATGTAGACTGATCTTTTCCAGTCCTCTGGCCACTGCTGAGTTTTCCAAACTTGCTGGCAGGTTGAATGTAGCACCTTAACAGCATCATCTTTTAAGATTTTAAATAGTTCAACTGGAATGCCTTCACCTCCACTGGCCTTGTTGTTAGCCAAGCTTTCTAAGGCCCACTTGACTTCACTCTCCAGGATGTCTGGCTCAAGGTCAGCAACAACATCATCTGGGTTGTCTGGGACGTTCCAGATCTTTCTGGTATAATTCCTCTGTGTATTCTTGCCACCTCTTCTTGTTGCCTTCTGCTTCTGTGAAGTCTTTCCTTTTTTTTTTTTTTTTTTTTTTTTTTTTTTTTTTTTTTTTTTTTTTTTTTTTTTTTTTTTTTTTTTTTTTTTTTTTTTTTTTTTTTTTTTTTTTTTTTTTTTTTTTTTTTTTTTTTTTTTTTTTTTTTTTTTTTTTTTTTTTTTTTTTTTTTTTTTTTTTTTTTTTTTTTTTTTTTTTTTTTTTTTTTTTTTTTTTTTTTTTTTTTTTTTTTTTTTTTTTTTTTTTTTTTTTTTTTTTTTTTTTTTTTTTTTTTTTTTTTTTTTTTTTTTTTTTTTTTTTTTTTTTTTTTTTTTTTTTTTTTTTTTTTTTTTTTTTTTTTTTTTTTTTTTTTTTTTTTTTTTTTTTTTTTTTTTTTTTTTTTTTTTTTTTTTTTTTTTTTTTTTTTTTTTTTTTTTTTTTTTTTTTTTTTTTTTTTTTTTTTTTTTTTTTTTTTTTTTTTTTTTTTTTTTTTTTTTTTTTTTTTTTTTTTTTTTTTTTGGACTTATATACCGCCCCATAGCGCTACAAGCACTCTCCGGCGGTTTACAGTTTTTAATTATACAGGCTACACATTGCCCCCCCCCCAGC